CTGCCTCCAGGCAGGTCTGTGCTGTCCCCAGAGCAAAAGGCTTTCCCACCCCTCAGCCCACCACACACCGATGCAGGCATTGCACTGAGATGGGCAGCCACATTGCACCCCACTATAGAAGCTTCCTTGGTCTTATGTATGGGGTCCCACTCTGGTTTCTGGGGCTGTTGCTTGCTGTAGTGAACCCTGAGAAGTTGTGCATAGGATTACAGGAAGCTTGTGCCTGGACTGATAGATAATGCAGAGCTGAAAGAGCCAAGGGCTGACAGCTGGGTGCTTGTCTCTGCTCTAACACTGGTGTGTCTCCCCCGCCCATCACCTTGAGCAGGACATGTCGCATCGCCTCTCTGCTCTGGTTTCCCCATCAATCACATTGTAGTGAAAGGACAATCTTGTCCTCCCTACCTTGCAGGTGTGCCGAGAGGGCTGACTAGATAATTCTCTGCATGATGGTCGGAGGATGAGGATGGAGAAACTGCCTGCACCCAGCTGGACCAGGCATTGGTTCCCTGCAGGGTTGCAGGGTGCAGCTGCAGTTTTCCCATTGCTGTGCCACTTGTGCCCATGTACAGAGGGGCAGGTATGCAATGCAGTGGATTCAGTCATATTCAGAGTTCGAAATACAGGGGAGGCTTGGGGGAGCTGAGCCCCCGCATAAGAGGTCAGAGCCCCCAGTTTGCCCCGCGCCTTTCAAAGCAGCTCAGGCGGCAGCGGCAGTGGCTCCTTCTGTCTTCTGGCTGCCACCGCCGCAGACCCCCCACAAGAGTCGGAGTGTCATTTGAACCCTGGTTACGTTAAAACTCCCACAGTCATGAATAGGAAAGGTGTCTCCCATTGTTACTGTGTTTTGCAGCGAGCCGGCGGCTATCATCCCAATTCGAATGAGTGTGTGTGTGTGTGTGTGTGTGTGTGTGTGTGTGCATGTGCATGCGCACGTGCGTGAAGATTTTACTCTAGGAAAACTGCATTTTACTGGAACATGTCCTCCTTTCTGGTGCACCCTAGGCCCCTTTAGTGTCCTGGGAGTAGCATCCCTGGTCCACAGTAGAATTTGGCTCTTGCATTGGTTCTGTAGATCCCTTGGGTGAGACATGCATGCTGCCAGCAGCAGCCTGAGGAGCAGATCACTTCAGTGTCAACTATTTTGAGTTGCATTTTTTTTTCCTATTGGAAGAGAAATCATAAGATTTTAACCAGACAAATGTGGTGTTTAATTTGCATGTAGAATCATAGAAAATTTGGGTCAGAAGGGACCTCAGGAGGTCACATCTAGTCCAACCTCCTGCTCCAAGCAGGGCCATCCTCAACTACATCATCCCAGCCAAGGCTTTGTCTACCCAGGTCTTAAAAACCTCCAAGGATGGAGAGTCCATAACCTCTCTAGGTAACCTGTTTCAGTGCTTTACTAACTTTCTAGTGAGAAAGTTTTTCCTTTTATCTAACCTAAACTTCCCTTGCTGCAGCCTGAGCCCGTTGCTCCTCATTCTGTCGTCTGCCACTGCTGAGAACAGTCCAGCTCTGTCCACTTTGTACCACCCTTCAGGTAGTTGGAGGCTGCTATTAAATCTCCTATCTGTCTTCTCTTCTTCAGACTAAATGTAGGTCAGGGCCAAGCCCAAATTTTCCTCCTCCTCCTCTACTCCAGACTTCTCTTTCTTGGTGGCCTATTGATCTGATCTGGAAACAACATTTATGCTCATGTTCCTGAAAAGCCACCAGAAAGGCAAGGGAATTGTATAACCAAAAAGGTGGGGAAGGTATGCACTCCAAGCCAGCACTGCATGCATTTTCACAGAGAGCAAGAGAATGGAGGGGAGGGTCTGTGAGATGAAAGGCAGGCACAAGGCCTACGGCAAATGTGAAAGGTGTAAAGAGTAAGGTCAGCTTCAGGGTCAGTGTGTGGGATGAGGTCTGAGCTGTTAGAGCTGATAGCGCATTGCAAAGCAGCAATAAAAGCATCTCCCCAAGCTGAAAAGCCTGACGTTTGCTGTCACTTCTCTGTATCCATATGCTGACACCACTGAAATCAGCTACTGTATTTCCTTGTATACCACACACCCCAAAATAGAATTTGCATCTTGTTTTTGAAAGGCAGAATGAAAGAAAACAGGATCTTGTAGTCGGTATCTGAGTAGCAACAGCTCCAGCTAGGGAGCAGGCCCTGCATGCTGTTTTGCTCCCCATGAGGATTTTATTTTTACTTGTGTCCCTCCTGGCAGAAATGGTTCTTACCGTATTTCTCACACATAAGATACACTGCAATCTCCAGTGGCTGGCATTTAAGAAAAAAGGTGTTGTATGCTAGAAAATATGGTATTTTAAAATAGATGCAGAGTCAAGCCTGTGAGCTGGAAAGGAAGGCTTCAGACCAAGAGCTGGGGAATTCTGCCTTTTTTTCCTTCCAGAAGAACTTGCCGAGTTTGGAAGGGCCGTGTAGACCAGGCAGGCACATGTAATGAGTTAGATGAGGGCACAGCATTTCTTTTGGCCAGTGCAGCTTCTCATCCATTGCTTGACATGTGTTCCAGATGCAAAACTGTCTCTTCTGGTTTGGCCCTGCTTAAAGTGGGCTCTGGGAGGACCTCACTGTGGCAGGCAGCAGCCCCATCGAGTCTCTGCTGTGTTCAGCACGGTCAGCTCCGCCAACTCCTTACTGCTGTGGCTACTCCCTACTCCAGCTCATATATGACCAGATGACAGATTCCCTCTCACCCTGAGTGATGGTCTGTGCATAGCTGTTGTGCCCCAGAAAGTAGTGCAGGGGCCAGGCAGGGTGTTGCAGTTAGGCACCTCGCTCATGGTGCCAGCCCTTTCCTGGGTGGGGGTGACTTCTCTCTGGCTGCTGGTTGTACTGTGCTACCTGGCATGCTGATGAGACCATGCAACTGGGGCTCTGTTTACCCCTGCCTGCCTGCTTTTACCTGGTTGGGGGTGGAGGCTGTAGCCTCACAGAAACTGTCCTCACCCTGCCCCATGGCTGCCATCTGCAGCACAGTGAGGGAGTAAGGGGGCATCTTTTACCCACATCCCCTTGCAGTGAGTGAGAGCCATGCTTACCCGTAATCCTGTAGAGAACTCTGAAGCCGGTTTCCTAAGCAATTCCATGCGAAGATTGGGCTCCTATTTTATTAATTAATAAATATGATCCCGAGCACAATTTCACTGGTGAAACTTCACGTGCTGCAAAGACGTGATAGACCCCCAAAAGAAACAACCAGCCTCCCTTTCTGAGCAAGCCTTGCAGGAAGCACATGGGCTGGGGACAGAAATTACACATTCAACCAGCATAAGTGATCGGAAACTGATTCAAACCTGTTACACAACAGAAGTTCAGTGCACATAAACCCGCTTTCAAAATGGCTGAAACCAGTGTAAGATAAACCTGGATGGATGTAGTATCAGACTTAACTAATTTAGGTTAAATCAGTTTATTGAACTTCTGTCCCAGATCCCCTCTAGATTCAAGCCATCTACTCCAGCAGGCCAGGGAGGCATGCTCTAGCGTCCCCTGGCTTCTGGCCTGGGCCACTGCAGGCATGTGGCTGCATTTCTGGAATGAAAAGTTAATGTCTGTTCACTTGCTTATCAGTTCAATCTGCACAGCGTAGACTAACCTGTGGAAATGGAATTGATTCAGCCTCGGGCTTTTTGACTGTCTGTACTTAGCCATGGAGGTTAGCTTGCCTCATTGGTTCTTAGGCTCCTAGGACCCTGTGCCTCAGATGTGATATTATTAAATGTTGTTTTCACTGATTCCTGGGGCGGGAGCTGAAGCAGAAGCCCTGTTCAATGCAGCACTTAAGTGCACGTTTAAAGCAAAGCACTTAAGCCAGGGCTTAAGTCTCATTGACTGCATTGCTCATGTCCACGTGCCTGATTCAAAGCCCTTGAGTCAATAGAACGATTCCTGGTGACTCCAGTGGGGTCTGCGCAAATTGATGGGCTTCAGGCACGTGCTTAAAGTGTGCAATGGAGGCCAGAGCCAGGTGACCTGGGAGGCCAGAGGCACTGTTCCTTATCAAGCAGATCTGCGTTAGTCCTCCCTCAGTTGCAGTCTTTTTAGGCATATCTGCTTACTGCTCTCCGGAACAGCCATCAGCAGAAGCTAATTTGCACACGTTGCTAATAGCCAGTGTTTTTACCGACAGATGCAAAAGGCTGGGTTGGGTTGGGTTGGGTTGGGTTGGGTTGGGGGGAGGGGTGAAGGCAAACAGAAGCTGGTAGTAACTCACTTGAAAATTTGGCCCCTGATGTCTTGTGATTCTTTTCAAGCACATTGGCCTGACTGAGCAGGGGGGCAGCAGCCCCTTTGCAGGCAAAATTGACACCTCTGGGTGACACTCAGAGCTGACTTGCAGCAAAGGGTCAAAGAGCCCGACCTAGCCCATTTGGATCTGGATAGGCGCTGCCTGTGCAGAGCACAGGGGAAAAAAAATCCCAGTTGCCCGTCACTGTCTAAATTTAGGCCGTTGTTCATCTGGGTTCCGCAGCTCCCGCTTGTCATCAGCTGGAGTGACAGAATATGTAAAATTAATTTCCAAGGTGGGAAATCGCTAATAATGTATTTGCAGCCGGGGCGGGGAGCAGAGGCGGGGATGCAGTACAGACATATTTGGGTTTTCTTAATAAAATGTCAGCGCGGAGCCTGCTCTGCTTCCCCTGAGCATGTCCTATTAGTTGAGACAACATCTTGCAGCTGCCCTCGCCTATTAGTGTGGCTGCGTGCAGGTGCAAGGAGCTCTCTCGTTGCTGTGCAGATCACCTGCCGGGCCCTAATTGACCACACGGCAGGGCCTGCTGGGGACTCTCGGGGCTGGCGTGTGTGCAGCATGCCTGATTGCAGCACCATGCGGTTCAGGGAAGTGGCAGGGGTGGGGATGAGCTCAGGGGAGAGGGAGCCTTAGAGAAGCCTGGGTTAGCTGCTGTGAGAGCTGCTCTCTAGTTGGGGGACATGCCGTGTTGGGCACCTGTCATTTACCTCTCTGTTTGTTTGTCAACAGGATACACACCCACTGGGATTTAAACATCTCCTTCCGAGAGACCTCTTGCAGGTACCATTTTGGGGCACCCTCTTTGTATGGTAGGCTAAGAGTTTATGATGCATGCTACTGGCGTTTGGATGCTGTTAGACATGAAAGAACATTCCTGCCTGTCATTCTGTAGCTTTTAGCTCTGTCCCTTTTTCTCTCCCTCCCTCTCTGTTGAGATCTGTTTTAATTTTTCCTTTCCCTTTTGTTTTGGGGGAGGAGGGCTTTAAGCAAACTCTCCTCTTGGAAAAGCTGGGGAGTGCAGCCAGTCCTGTCTGGGGACCCAGTGCTTGTTTTCTGAATATGTCTTTTCTGCTCTGTGTTTTCTGAGAATGGAAAATTATCATGGCCCAGATATTTGAAGCTTGCTAGGTGCTGCTCCACTTAGCACTGCACCAGCCTGCTGATTTGGAAGGATACGTCTTGTTTGCAAACTGACTTTGGCACTTGAGTGCTTAGGTCTCATTGGAATTCAGTAGGACTTAGGCTCCTGAGTCAGTCTGGTGCCGCAGCACTGAGCAGAATATTGCTTAAGTGCCTCTAAAACACCCTGGGCCCGTGTCTATAAATGACAATCATCATTTGATGGGGGAGGGAGCTTGGTTGTTCAGGCGGTATCACCGATGCCCAAATCCTGCAAACAGTTGTGCGTGCAAGTAGTCCTGTCCAAATCAATGGGATTGGTTCTGTGCATAATTTTGGGCATGTCTGTAAGCATGTGCAGGGGCAGAGCAAAAGCTGTGAGAGTGAAATTACCTTAAATGCATGAAAATAAAAAAATCTAGACCCCCGCACTGTCACCTTAAATGACAGGCGTTTTAATGAAGTAGAAATAAGAGAAAAGCAGCAGAAGCCTGAACTGAGAGAGAGAATGAAGAAGTTGCCAGGCCAAAGCAGAACGGTTGAGTTTTTTTTAAGTATGCCTTGACCAATACCTAAAGAACTGGGAATCCAAACAGTGCAAGCAGCCAATCATTGCAATGCTTTGCACACGTTGGAAGATTCCTTCTTGACTCCTGATGTCTTGAAGCATGACATTTGACTATCTTTTCTCTTAATATGTGCAGTAGAATTGTGTGTGTTATTACTGGTTATGACGTATTTCCATTCTCTTTAAAAATCTAGCTATGGTATTTACCTCAAAAGTGAGAAGTGAAGAATGCTTGTGTTGATTTCTGTTTTACATGAAACTCACTTAGTTCCAGCTAAACACTTGAGCATGTTTTGTGCTGTGTGGTTTGTTAAGAAGAGATAAATCATTGTATGTGCCCAGTAAACATCAGGTTTTCCTGTGAAACTCCATGGGAAGGCAAGCCAGAAGGAGGTATGGGTGCTCCAGGAGAATGCTGATGGAGCCTAAGTGGAGTGAGGCCAGATTCTGATCCTGATGGCACTGGTTTAAATCCAGAATAATGGGTACTTGTACTTGTGACAATGTTACCATGTACACATGATGAAAATTTCCCTTTGTGTGACTAAATGGCATCACATGTTATGCGTATGCAAGTTTGGGGGGGTTTAAATGAGATTACATCGGGATGTGGTTTAGTTGGTGAAAATGCAGTTGAGTTTGCAATGTTGCAACTTGGAACATCACAGCCATTCATCTGTTGGCTCATTCCCCTCCGCCGACAAAAAGGATCAGGCCCCTCGACAATTCTGCCTTCAGCAGGCACCTGTGGCCACCAGGACAATGATGTGTATACAGTGATGGAAAAATAAAACCCATTGTTTCCATTAAAAACTCACTGTTTCAATTTAGGGGGCATAGAATGCAACCCTGAAGGGCTAAACTCCCATCACATATACAAGCGCCCAACTTGATCAGAGTTGGTGAAGTTACTCTGGATAGACACGGGTGGTGAGTGAAAGCAGAATCTGGCAAGTAGCATCTCAACTTTTTATTGCCTGAGTATCAGTTTGCAAATAACAGTTCACTGATCACTGCTTGGAGGCAATAGCTTGCTGTGCTCTCTTCAGTATTCCTTGGTTCTAGAGGAAGAAGAACGACAAGAAAGTATGTGTGTATATATTTGTGGTAGTGTACTACGTGGTAGGCACTTTCCAAACACGGGAGAAAACTAATCTATTCTGGGAGGAGCTCACAGTCCATAGACAAGTGTACGTGAATAATTTATCTGCTGAGTTTTGCGACTAGGATTGTACGAATAAGACTGAGTGCACCCAGGCGTGGTGTTTACCCAAGAGGGTGCAGTGTAACAGAGCTTAGAAAAGATCTAAGTTTCACTATTGCAACGGATTTGGACGTTTCTCTGTTTCATCTACAAGCTTTAGATTGTTTTGCGAAATGTAAACATCCCAGACAGCATGAGTGCGTGTTAGAAATGACTTCCAACTTGATCACCTGCCCTACAAACATGGCTCGAGTGACTGCTGCTCCTCTGCTGTAAGCCTCCCATAAAAGCTTGTGCCTGGAGCAGGCAGGGCAATGGAGGCTCTTAGGGGAATGATTGCATCTGGATTTTTTTTTTAAACCTTTCCTTTTTTTTTTTTTTAAAACCTTTCTGAGATTCAGAGCAGGGGGTTTGGGCTGGAGATGTTTGTGTCTGAAGGTAAAGCAGAGTGTTTGGGCTGGAGATGTTTGTGTCTGAAGGTTCAGACTAGATGATGCTCTGTGGAGTGATAGTTTGGTGGATTCGGGCTCTGTTTCAGCACAGCAGTTAGGTATGTGTGTAGATCCATCATGTGAACATATACTTTGCTGGGCAGATCCCCAGGAAGAGTGCTGGAAATAGTGCGGATCAAGATGCACGAAATTCATTGTTAATTCCCACTCCACTAAGCACTGTTGAAGGCTATAGGATTGATTGGACTTTTTAAAGTCCACACAGTGTCTAAAAAAAAAAAAAATCCACTCTGTGAATTTTAGGAGCATCAACCCACACTCAAAACTGGCGAATTTCTCAGAGCCAGTCTTCCAAGCAGACATCCAAAACTCCCGTCGAAACCAACTGGAGTTCCAGGCATGGATGGCTTTCAGGATGAAGCCCCTGCTTGGTTTCGTTAAGCTTATGGGTGTCAAAAATTCAAAGGAATCGTCTCGGGAGACTTGCTTGATAAATCTTAGCCTGGAAGTGAAATGTTATGGCCCAGTTATAAAATCCTAAGAAGGCAGAGGTTTATCATGGAAGTGCTGACAGAAACCTTAACTAATAGCCATGCGAACAACAATTCTGCAGCCTAACACAGCTGCAATGAAGGGTGCGCACACCTTTGTAAATTAAAATTCCCACCTTAAAAAAAATTGCTTTTGAAACTGCAATGCAAAGGATAAAATAATGGCTCCTTTTTTTTCTGTTGGCAAGGAAGTTTCTTTGACAACCCATGTTTAACTGTTTTGTTCCCTTCAACTCTCCTGGCTAAGACTTTGGCAGTTCAGACTATGGCAGTTCTACAGTGAGAATACAGGTTTTGTTACTGCAGATCAAACAGCAAGCCCAATTACCTGCAGTAGTGGGCCACCCTAATACATCAGAAGAAAGCAGCCAATCTCATGTAATGTAGCAAACTAATTGTACAGGGCTGAATAGGTAGAAAGGAAAATTCCTTCCTGAATCCCTCTGGCAACCAGCTGATTAGATGAAACATGAGACTTCTTGTCCATTTTTAACAACGGTTTCCCAGTAACAAACATTTAGAGGGATATTGCATAGTAGAAAGGGGCCAAATTTGGTTTCACGTCTAATAGGGAATTCTTTTAAAACTCATTCAGTTTTGAACAAGAAGAAGAAATGCTTAATCACTTGTGCAGGCCTTACACAAAGTGATGTATTTCTGGTGTCATAGGTAAGTGACCTGAGCTTGTGACCTGGCTCTGACATGGCAATTAGATATAAGAGTCATTAGTGACATAGCTTGATTGTATCCTTGTTTCTTGAAATGTAGCCTGGGTGTGAGTTTTAACTAAACAGACAGTCCATTATCATCATTCGTGACAAAAGGAGATCCATGCCTGAGAGCAAAATTTGTGAAAGGAGTCCCTTTAAAATGAATGTAGTTAGCAAATCTGCTTGTAAACTCTCAGGAAATCTGCCCCAAGGTCAAACAGAAGGGCTGTCATTTTGGGGAGGATATATCACATGCTTTGCCCGCAGTACCAACAGAGGTTGAATCCCTGCCTTCTGTGTAAAACTCACCCAAGTGTAACTGTTGTGCCATTACTGGCCATGGACCCTAGACCTGGCCATCAATGGCAAGGCAACTGGGTCCATTGTGAAATGGGAGGTAGCTTAGCCAGTTTTTGCACGTCCTCTGTAGACAGTTTGCTTGCACCAATTCTTTTGGGCACAAGGAGTCCATGCTCTGAGAGGCTGGATTTATCTGCCAGCAGTTCCTGCTGGTAGATTGCTAGTCCCCAGCTGTCACAGAGGATGGGACTCGGAGCAATGACCTCCAACTTTGGCCAAGAAAATTTAGGCTGGAGATGAGGAGGAACTTTCTGACTACAAGAGTGGTCCAGCCTTGGAACAGGCTGCCCAGAGAGATTGTGGAGTCTCCATCCCTGGAAGTGTTTAAGAGCAGGTTGGACAGGCCCTTGATGGTTTAGTTAGGGATGCTGCTGCCCTGAGCAGGAGGTTGGGTGACCTTGTGAGTTCCCTTCCAGCCCTAATTTCCTATGAGGTCCTAAGATCTTCCTTGGGGTTGGAAGCTCCCTCCTGGCCCTGCTGTCTTGGCTTCACTGTGCAGCGTAGCAGCATGCAGGGGGACTGAGGCAGAAAAGAACTGAGCTTCCCTTTCTCCGGGGCCCAGTCACCCTAATGCTGCCCTCTTCCCACTTCTCGGTCCCCCTTGCACATCATCACTTCCCCTGCCTGCCCTCACACACATCCCCACATCCTCCTGCACTCTTGCTGACCCTCTTGCCCTTGGCCTACATGCCCACTTTCCCTCTCCGCTTGACTTTGGCCAGTGCTGTTTGGGGAAGTTGAAGGGGAAACACTCAGTTCCACTGGAGTTTCTGGCCGTCTGTGGCCCTGACTCAGTGTCCGGCTGTGCTCGGAGGA